GTGATCTGTACTATAGGGGGGTTTTAGGCCAGTGTCTTGTTCAGGCCTCTTGATAGAGTATGCAACTTTGAAGAATATGGTTGGCATTCTCTGATGATGCTCCACAAGAGCTAATCTCACTAGTCCCTATTTTTAGCTTCTGGAACATGCCTTTTAAATTTTAAATTATAATGATACTAGATCACTAGAGTTAAAAGAATATATATTCAATTTAGTTTGATCATTAAGATCATTAGATTTGGGCAATGTTTCTTACTCTTAGCCTCAAAGTGGTGCAAAGGTGGAAACAGCAGTTAGAGGAGAAGATTAGGCCAATAATTATGGAATGACAAAAAAGAACCATCGTTGTTGTGCTAAGGATAGAAACCACTATACTAGCATGGATGAAAGAAATCCTCAACAAACTTTCCACACACTGTTCCTCAAGGGACCATTTCTTTGTTTGAACACCTGCACGGCTTATGTGGTACAGAGAAGCAATATGGGGTTAGTTTCTCCAGTGTGGTTGGCCTTCCGTCTGCCAATAGCCATAAATAATAGGAATGTAAAACATTTTACATACTGCTTGGATCCTTCGAAGACAGAAGTTTGTTCAGACAGGTGGAGCGAGCTCCCATGTGTCTAGACTAGTCTAGAGTTCCAATTAAAAGTCTTTGACTTTAAACTCTTATTGCAATTACTGTCTATTACAAAGATCACTAGATTACTAGGGTAGACCTAGATTATTGAACTAGATATATAAATTACATCAAGATCTAGAATAATCTACTTCCCTCTAATATTGATAGATCTATCTATATTTAAATAATCAATAAAAATTGAAAATTATTACTACTCTAACTTTTACACTTAGTAAAGATATCTACCTTTTTGTATTTAGTAGATCTAGATCTAGATCAAGAATTTCTAGTACTAGATCTAGTAGTGAAGTAGTACTACTACACTACACTAAATGTCTGACAGTGACAGATGAGATTTATTATATTAGATAATTAGTAATATTTAGATTTCGTAATATATAAATATAATATATAAATATAGATCTAGACTCTAGACTAGATCTAGAATTTAGATGATAGTCTTAGGTCTCTAGAGATAAATTTAAGATTAGAGTTTAGAGAGACCACTACTCCACTAGTCACTATATCATAAAAAGTATCATATGTCATATATAGTAGTTTATTTAATTTGGACATTACATGAATTTGGGCATTCGCTGTTTTTGTGGTCATTAAATAATTATTTTAATATTTATTATAAAACTAGCACGCTGTATAATGTGCTTGTCCATTTCCAATGATTCTGGCCCAATTTCCTTCCATTTAGCTGTCTTTCTATGTAAGAAAAACGAATTTCAAATTTGTTAGTCAGGTTGTTGTTTTTTCCTATGTTACCCGGATGACTTTACCTCTTCCTAGGGTTAAGACTTTTTTTTTTATTGGCTAAGTCTATACTAGTGAGTCCGCAATATTTATATTATTCTGTTTTTGGAGCTGATTTATTTGATTTATAAGCCAAGTTGTTTGATTCCGTATAAAAAAAATTTAATAGGGTGTTCGAATTATATTACGATTTTCTTACCAAAATTAATTTTGGACAGCCAGTTTTGGACATCAATGTTAATGATTTTATATTTGTTTGTTTAAAAATTGTTTTTTTTTTTAATAGAGAATAAATCCATGGGCAAATGTTTGGAGTGAGCTTGGTATATTGAATGAAGTTAAATGCTTAGATCTAGACCTACTAGATAGATCTAGATTTATATAGAGAGTTAGGCAAGAATGGCTATCCTAACCTGTACTATACTACAAAAGATCATCTGTATTAGAAATTTATTAAATCAATAAACAAAAAATACAAGCATTCAACACACATCTGATCATGAAAACATAAAATAAGTCTAAAAGTCGGTGCAGAAGTCACTATCCCAGTGACCTAATTTTGGTAGAATAAGTGTGTTCATATTTTTATTTTTTGTGTTTGTATTTATGCATAAAATGAAAACATCTTTTTTTTTTAATGATTTCATGTGAGGGGCTATGCCTTGGGATCTTAAAATTTAGTTAATGTTAATATATAATTAAAATCTGAGTTTATTGATGCCTAAATATAGAGACTGTCTGAAATAAATTATAGTGTCCGGAATCAAATAATGTGGGTGAAATTTATCCAAATCAAATGAAAATACACTGCCTCTTTGACCTTAAATATAATAACAAATATAGGTTAGGGGCACAAATATAAGTAGTCATCCTTATTCTCTTCAACTAAAGAAGATTTTGATACCTCATTTTCTTTTCTATGTTGAACCATTGTAAAATAATGAGCTGTCAAAGTCAAACTTTCAAATTTGGGCCTATAGGCTAGGTGTCCGAATAGCATTTACTACTCTATCATGAATCTATGTCGAGTCTAGCTTAGAGTGTCTAAGTCTAGAATGAATTTAGATGACTAGAGTTAGTTGTTAGAGTGACTAGACTCACCTAAAGCCAAGAATGAGACACTTGACTGACTTGAAAAGACTAAGTCTATCATGACTAATTAAGAATAAGATAATTAATGACTAGATTTAGATGACAGAGTACTAAAGACTAGAGTCTAAATTATCTAGAGTGAGTACTTAGTAACTTAGACTAGTTAGTTAAGTTAGACGGCTTAGTAGTTAGTTATTAGTAATATTAGTTTAGTTAAGTTAGTAACTATTACTACTATTAGTTATTTAGTAGTCGACTGAGACTCTACTCTACTAAGTCTACACTCTACACTGTATGTGTGTAAGACACTCAGTCTACAGTACTTTACTTAGTCTGACTTTGACGTTAGTCTTAGTTAGACTCTCGTCTCTACTAACTTGCTCGATTTAGGAAAAGCCAAATGGCTCCATGCTCCATTCCATTTAACATTTTGCACAGGCAAATTATCTAAAGGTTTATTGTCATATAATCGACTCATTTTTCTAAATTTTTGAAATATGTTTCTTGATTTGTTCCAATTCAATTATTGTCTACTTTCGTAATATACTTCCGTGGTCATATTAAAATGTTAAACTGACATATTTCTATCTTTACAAAAGAGTACTTCATAGTGGATTACATTTTGTTCTTTCTAGATTATATTTAAAAAAATATAACTGAAATAGTGTATATAATTTCCTTAGATATGATGAACTTAGTGCAATCACAAAATCTTCCAGATTTTTTTTATGTGACTTAGATCTAGATCTATATTTATGTTATGACAAAAAAAAATTATGCCTTTTTGAAGTCGTACTAATAGACACAAATCTTTTATACCTGAGATTACATTTACTTTGATTGCTTATACATGGCTGGCAGCTGGTCTGTGCAGTTATTGTTTATTTTCCAAATAGTTCATGGAACAAAAAAGGGAATTCACCCACATCGTTGATGTTCATACACACTTGTCAGATGATTTATTAATAAAAGTGGGCATTATAGAAGCTTAGAATTAAATCTTTAGAAACTTAGATTAGATTAGATCTAAGACTATGGCCATGGCTATAACTAAAATAAAAGTATATAAAGTCATGTCATAAGTATAATAAATAAATACTTTAAATAGTAGTATCAAGTATGATAAGTATGGGTATTTGTTTATCATTATGTGACTAGATTGTCTAGATCTAGATACGCAGAATCAGGTTTCTCTTATATTTTATGAGTATGCAGAAAAAAATGCAGATTACAAATATGTAGTTTGATTTCTTTGGAAATAAATAGTTTTTAAAATATAGATTATCTCCCTTAAGTTAATTGCCAACTTGTTCTGTTTGTATTTTGTCTTTGTTTCTAACACTACTAACAGCTATTAGATCTAATAGTGAATTTATTTAGAATGCAAACAAGCTTTTTGTACTTTATGCAATAACTAAATATAAATTATAATTACAAAAACGAAAAAAAATTAATAGAAAAAAATATTCACATTAAATATATAACCTCTAGCTTTAAGCCTGACATGTTGTAGCCATAACGTATTTTAATCTTCGTTGTTTTTATGATAATAAAGAAAATATTTGTTCCACCACATCATTCAAGTATATTTCTTTCAGTTGTTTGATTCCAAACAAAATAATTAATTATCAAGAGTTAATAAACTAATTGGCTAATTTTAAATTACTGCTTAATGCAACAGGTTAATTAGATATACCAGTAGGCCTGACACACACAAACCGTAATAGAACAAAGAGAAACAATTAAGCTATTGAATGTTAAACAATATAAAAATAAGCAATATCCACAATAAAGTAGTGAACGTCATGATTGGATTGTGGCATGGAAGGGAAGATTCTGGAAATGTTACAATGGTATCAGTTAAATTTACAGAAAAGTTTTTTATTTGCAATTTAGACCTACTATACCATGAGGGTTAAGTGAGAAGGGTGCAATATTAAAAAGGCTCATGCTGAAAAATAATAGAAGAGACTTTTGAAATATTTCAATAAAGAGCTAAAAAGTCGAAGAATACTCAGAGATTATATGTAGGACTATATCCTAAGGTCTAGGGTGGGGGTGGGGTATAAGTGATACAGGTCATCAAATTTAGGGGTAAAAAGTATATGGTTGGGAGGGTTAGCGTTATAAAGCTGGCGTGCCAATAAGATGTCACATTATGAAATTGGGAGGCACTGTGACTGAGCGGTAAAGCGCTTGACTTCTGAACCAGGAGTCCCTGGTTCAAATCCTGGTGAAGACTGAGATAGTTAATTTTGAGTCCACCCAGCTCTAATGGGTATCTGACATTTGTTCAGGAAAAGTAAAGGTGGTTGGTCATTGTGCTGGCCACGACACCCTTGTTAAACACTGGCTACAGAAACAGATGACCTTTACATCATCTGCCCTATAGACCACAAGGTATGAAAGGGAACTTTACTTACTTTACATATTATGAAATAAAAGTGTTGTTGTTTTTTTTTGGGGGGGGGGGGGGGGGGCAAGCAGGATGTAAACAGTAAAAAAGGCCATAAAGAATCATAGAACCTATCAACTATTTCAAAATAACTGAAAAGCAGAAGTATAGTCAGATAGTGTAAAGAAGACTGTTTGTCTAGTGTAAAGAAGACTGTTTGTCTAGGCGGAGAGTGTGTGTAGGGGGGTCTAAATTATAAAGCGGAAGGGATCCATAGCAAAATAAACTATATTTATATATATTGCCTGGAACCAGATCAACTGGCATAGCCGGTGGGTAAGGCTTATAACAGTGTTTCTCAAATTTTTTTGTCTGGCGGCACAGTAAAAAAACTACAAAAATTTCGCGGCACACCACGAAAAGCAACAGTTGTATTATAATAAAAAAAAGATTTTACCTTTTTTAAGTATTACATCTAATGTGAAGGGTGTGCCTGTTTTTGAGAGCAAATGCAATCTAATCGAGGCTTCAGAGTCGACAAACAAACTCGCATTTCATCGTCTATTGTAAGAAGTTTCTCTGTTTTCTTAGACTTGATTTCAGTCAGTGCTGAAAATCCAAACTCAAAAAACATGAAGATGCAAATGGAAGAATGCTCTTAAACTGATTGCAGGATATAACTTGTTGATTGAAATCCAAAACAGATCCAGACTTTTCTCTGCAAAACTTGACTTAAGAACTGCATCGTTTTTTAAATCAATGAGATGCTCTGCTTCTTCAGTTGTCAGATTTGTAGCTTCATTGTTTCCAAATGGATAGCTGAACCATCCGTACTCTTTACTGTTGGAAAGTAATGCTGCAATGCTGACTGTAAGTGTGTCAAAGTGCCAAGAATTTCGGAGGTGATTTCTTTATTTGAAGCAAATTCATTGTAAGTAGGAAAGCAGTCGAAGACTCCTTTCGAGATCTTACTCTGCCACACAGACAATTTTTCACCAAATGACTTAAGTTTTTAGGACACAGTGATGATGGTTTCCGATGGTCCTTGAAGACTTAAATTCAATGAATTTAATTTGTCAAATAAATCAGAGAGAAATGTCACTGTAATCCACCAGATCTCGTCATGAATAGAAATTCCAAAGTCTTTTTGTTTTGTGTCTCCAAGAATGCAATCAGCTCAGCCTTGAGCTGGACGACACGCTTTAACACATTTTCCCTGGAGAGCCAACGAACGTTGGTGTGATACAGGAGACATTTGTAGTCTGAATCCATTGCATCACAAAGCTCTGAGAAAAGTCGGGATGCAAGCGCTTGAGATTTGATGAAGTTTACAACTTCAATCACTTGATCCAGAGCAGACATCAAATCTTTCGGTAAAGACTTGAAGGCAAGAGCTTCTCTGTGGATCATGCAGTGAACAACTAATACATTTGGATTTTCTTGACCCACAAGTGTGACGAATCCCTTTCTATTTCCCTGCATAGAAGGACAGCCATCTTTGCAAATGCTGACACAGTTTTTCCACCGTTGTTTGAATAGCAAAATGTTTTCGTTCACCACTTTAAGAATATCTTCGTCTTTGGTCGTAGTTGGTAAGTCTTTGCAAAATAAGAATTCGTTGACATATTTTTCATCCTTTATGAACCAAATAAAAGCTAGCAGCTGGGCTTTGCCGCTAACGTCAGTGGATTCATCAACTTGTAGAGACCACAGTAGAGACACTTCATCGTCAGTCACGTCGAAGTGTTCGCAGACTTGATCTTGTAAATCTGACGAGAGTTTCTTTTGACAAAGAAACTTTTTCGGCGACATCGGGTCCAAGGATAGTTTAAACAACTATTGCTAAAGCTGGTGCAATGTCTGATTGTGTGTGTGTGCTTTCTTGCATTTTGCTAATAACTGAGCAACCTTATAACTTGCAAGCAATCCTTTTTCTAGCAGCTTTAGGTAGTTTGTAAGTTTGCTTGTTTATTTTGTTGAGCCCTGATGTTTTCATAGTATTCCTTTGGTTGCGCTTTTACAGCTGGGTGTTTTGTTTCCAAGTGTCTCTTCAATTTGCTTGGAGCAAGGGCCTCAGAGTTGCATTGCAGATCAAACAGAAAGACAATGGAACATCTTCAAGTCCAGAGGATATGAAACCATACCTGATGTAATCTTCATTGTACCTTCGTTTGGTTCCTTGCTTTTCATTTAACGCTTTCGCAGTTTCATTCTTGCTAGCGTAGTTTTCCTTGGATAATAAATAACGCTTATTGATAATTTGTTACTATTAGCATACACCTAAAAACTTTACATTAAACTAATCGCTTATTATTATCGTTACCAATTCAAGAACTGCTGTGCATTAGAGCATTAGATTTAGTATTAGAGTCATTATAATAATATTTGTATATTGGACAATTCCATAACCTGAATAGCTAACAGCCCTTTCCGTTACTATGCAGCAATCCACTACTATTACTGGTCGTTGCAAGTGGGGATGTTATCGCAAAGTAAAATAAAAATTTAATAGTAGACAGACCTGTGTAACGCTGCAAGTGTGGCATTCTGAAAACTCCTGCAAATCTTCGGCGGCACACAGTTTGAGAAACACTGGCTTATAATAATATAGATTATTGAATCTAGATTTTTCTAGATCTAGTCTTTTAAAGAAATAATAATATTTTGTTATCAAAAACACAAAATACAATAGTTTAAGACCAATGCAGGTGTGTAAAAGATTGTTAGTGGGAAAAAATTATAAATATATAATTTCCAACTACCACACTGGCCAATATCCATCTATCCATCAATCCATCCATCTATCCATCTTGGAGGGCCATACAGACGTTACTTCAAAAAAGAGGATGATTACGTCCTACGTGTCATGCATTTAGTCATGCATATTAACAATGACTTAAACTCTCCCAAGTCACTGGTTTTCCTGGCTAGTTCAGGCAACCCATTCCATGCTCTAATAGCACTAGGGAAGAAGGAGTATTTGTACAAATTTGTCCTTGCATATGGGACGAGGAATGTGCCTCCATGCCTTGACTCGTAGCTGCTGTGGTAGATCTGCCTTGACATCATTAAGCCACTGTTCTTGTGGTCTTCCTTTGAGATGCCTGCCATTCAGTGCCAATATCAAACTCCTTATCATAATGGGAAGTGTGGTTGAGAGGCCAAGAGCGCTTGAACTTGGCTTGGCTACCTAGAAGGGGGCTCGAGGTTCGACACCCGACTCGGGCAGAGTTGTGTTTACTGAGCGCCTAAAGGGAGCACGGAAAACTAACTCCTAGATACCCCCTCCCCCCACTGGTCCACAAATGAGATTGGACCAAAAGCGCTCAGAGCATGCTATAAGCATGAAAGTAGTGCTATATAAAAGCTATAATAATAATAAATGATAATCATAAATATGAATTTCGATGACCATCTTAACTTTAAAGACCTAACTTGAGTCTCTTAATTTTAAGCTCTACATCTATATCTATGCTTACTAAATAAATAACTTATAAATAATTACTAATTTTATGTACTAATTAAATTTATTCTAACTATACCAATAATGAATCAATTATATGAAATAATTTGTTCAAAAATATATTTTCCATTTAATTTAGGATGTAGGTGAAATTATTCAACGAGCTGTGCAGGTAAGAACATGTAAGACTCAGTTAATATTGATATGTGGTTATTATTTTTACACAGTTAATCACGGAGTAAAAGTAAAGAGTAACGTTACCCTTTCAGACCTTGCCATCTATAGGGCATATGATGTAAAGGTCATCTGTTTCTGTGGCCCGGCCTACAGTTAATGAGGTTGTCAAGTGGACAGCACAACAGCCAACTGCTTAAATTTTACTTTTCTCCAACTAATGTCAGGTACCCATTAGAGCTGGGTGGACTCAGATGCGCCCTAAAATCCCAAAATTAAAAATCCCAGTCTTCACCAGGGTTTTAACCCAGGACTCCTCGATTGGGAAGCCAAATGCTTTACCTCTCTGCCACTGTGCTTCCACCATGCCTCCAAAATTACTGATTAATAAGTAAGTAAAAATTCAAAATGTAAATTACATACATCCAGCATTTACCTTATTGTGTGAGGTCCTCTGATGAAATTTATTTTTATTACAATATCAGCAGCACTTTTCTTTTGACTTTAAACTAATACAAAAAGATGCATACGTCAGGGCTTATCTGCCAATAGTTGTAGCAAAATTGATGTAATGAGTTTACAGTACCTAATTTTATCAACATCTACTCTGAAGTTACATAATGAAATTAAATTATGATTAAATATTCTATATCACTAGGACCTAGGAATCATGCTTCCTAGATGAACACTTATTTAAGTAAGGAAAAGTGCTCCTGGATCCTTGTTACCTGTATCCAGCAACAGGTCAAAGTCAAGGCAGCTGGTATAGGTTTGAGTATATTTGATGATTAATGTGACCAACATTTTCCAGTATGGTATTTTCAATATCTGGTACTCCACAATGCTTGTCTGATTACCAATTCATTATTGCCTCTTCATATTGTGACATTAGACATTATTACTGTACAAATGTTTAGTTTTACCTTTATCTGTTTCTACCTGTCAATGAAAATCAAATTTCTAAAATTTGCTAAACTGGCCAAAGTAAGTAAGCTACTTAAAAAAGAAACCACCTGGCTTTTTACTCTCACATAATATTTAAAACCTAAGCTTTATGCTGGAGTATTTCTCTCTGTCCTCATATAATCAATTTTATTTTAAAGCAAAATGTTTATTCAGCACTAGTGGTTGCAGAAAGCAAGCTAGATTTCCAGCCAATATTGGACTTGCATCATAGGTAAAGTATTTTTATTTTTAATATAATCATAGTTTTTATTTAACTTTCATTTTCAGAGTAGTAGTTTTATTATGATTTCTTGTTGATATCTATACAGTAAAGATTTCACAGCCTATATAATTTTAAGGATATTTTCTAGAGTTTAAAGTTGGTTAGTTGGTTTGTAAATAATACTTTATATTTTGACTTTAAAATTCACATTCAACATCCTCTTGATTGATATTATCAATCTATAAATTTAATTTAATTTCTTATCTATGCGAAATAATAGTGGGATAGCTTAAGTTATTGAAAATGTATTTATCAAATATATCTACATATTATTTTATTTGGATTAATAATTAAAATTAGGCTTGGCCAACTAAAAATATTCATATCAATATTGATAA